GGATGACTCCCCCTACTGAAGACAGACAGGGTCTTCAACTTGCAACTTCGTCTCTAGAGGGGAGAAGTCATCCTGTTTCTCCAGTCTGACCCTGCCTGCTGCAAGGGATGGTTGGGTTTCTCCATGTAAATATGTGAAGAGAGAAAAAATTGCATGTTTGTTTTTTGTGATTTTTTTCTTTGTCTAGTCCTCTCCTTCCTCTTGTTTGCTAGATCATCATTCTGAGTGGGTGTTTTCATTGTGTTTCCTGTTGGCTGCCCTGCCTCCCTGCTTCTTCATTTCTACTTCTCCTTCATTCTCTCCCCCCCCCCCCCGGTTGTCTGGGGAAGGGGAAAATGTAGGGGGCAGATGGATTCTGTCCCAACTGCCAGGCATGCATGGGAGAAGTCAGCAAGGCCAGGAACTTGCATTTCCCACCTCACTAAGGCTGCCACCTTTGGTCAGGCAAAATAAGTTCCCAACAGCTCAGAGGAGGAGATTTATGCATTTGGAGATTCCAGGCAAGCAGCCTTTGGTGATTCTCTAGGTTCTTTGCCAGAACAGGCGGGGGTAAGTATGGGGAGCCCCCACTCTGATTCTGAGGCTTTCCTTAATTCAAAAAAATTCCCAAAATTGCTTTCATGGGTGAAGGGATTGATTTCCTTGGTGGTGGTGGTAGGGTTTACACCCAGACCTGCTTGATACGCTTCATCACCATAAGAGTAAACACAAACACAAGCAGTCCACATGCAGGCATAGGGAAAAGTGGATCTATTCACAAGATACGGCTTGATACCCCTCCTCCTCCTCCTCCTCCTGCTTGCACCTGAGCCCTGAGGTCCCAGGACTCCTTTCTGGTTAGGCCTCCTTTGCCACCAAAATGGGCTAAAACGTCTGTTCCTCCCATTCAGGCGGTAGGTAGGTCAAGAGGGAGAGGCCCCCCTTAGAAGAGGAAGTGGCTGAGGTTAAGAACCAACTTTGGTTGCTCTCTGCCAAGGCTTTCCCGCCTTTATTAAGAAAGGCTCGTCAGGTGCTGCAATTGCTAGAGGGAAACAAACACCTCCCCTTGAATCCTCTGCAATATCTTTCGGAGGTGTCACTCTGGAAGTGCCCCAAGTAGTGACCATGACATCTGATGCAAGCCTGTTCAGTTGTGGGGCACATCTAGGGTCCCATGTGGTTCAGGGTGTCTGGTGGTTCAGGAGACCTAACTCAGCTTCAACGTGCTGGAGCTCAGAGACATTCAGCTAGGGTTGAAGGCCCACATCATGGTTCAACGCATTGCAGCATTTGTCAACACTAGAGGCAGTTGCTGTTGGTTTGCAGATTGGTATGGATAGGAGCCCTGGGGCGTTACCTTTTGTGTTTTTGCCAAATTGCTTGCTTGTGTCCTTCCTTTCTTGTACTGAACTCCAGTGATTGGTTTGATGTATGGGCGCCTGCTTGAGGGTTATTCTGCTCCGCTGCTACTCAGTCTGGAGAGACAGTATGACTCCACCTCTCTAGAGAGGATGTTGCAAGTTTAAGACTGCCTTTTTCCAGTAGGAGGAGTCACCCTTATCAAAAATGCCTATAAACTGAAATTCAATGTAAGATTTCCCCCCCATTTTTTCTCTATACACTTTTCCATGTCATGCATCATTTTATCAACTTCTACCATGTCGCATCTTATTCACTTTTCCTCTAAACTAAAATGTCCCAAATACTGCAGTCTTTCCTCATTTTGCATTTATATTCCACCTGTCCTCAAAGGAGCTATACCATACATGGTTTTCTTCCTCCCGATTTTATCTCCACAGCTTTGTGAAGTAGGTTAGGCTGAGAGTGAGTGACTGGCCCGAGGTCACCCACTGAGCTTCATGGCTGAATGGGGATTTGAACCCTGGTTTCTCAGGTCTTGGTTCTAAACACTAAACCATCCTGGGTCTCAGTGGGATGTTTATCACAATTAAGGTGCCCTCAGAAGGCTAGAAACACAATTAAACATTTTAAACTGATGTTGTTCACTGTTTTATGGCTCTGAACTGCTTTGAACATAGGAATAAAGAAAGATTCCTTAAATTGAGTCAGATCATTGGCCTATCTAGCTCAGTGCTGCTAACCCTGGCAGGTAGCGGATCTCCAGGGTTTCAGAAAGGAGATATTACTGGCCCTGCCTGGAGATGCTGGGGATTGAATTTAGGAGCTTCTGAAAGCAAAGCAGATGCTATGCTACTGAGCTACCGGCCCTTTCCAGGAACGTAAGTTGCATTATGCAGAGTTGGTTCATTGGCCCATCGAGCTCAGTACTGTCAGCACTGACTAGCAGTGGCTCTTCAGGGTTTCAGATGAGGGTCTTTTCCAGCCCTACCTAGATATTGAGCCTGGGACCTTCTAAATGGAAAGCACTGAGCTACGACCCTTCTTGGAAACGCAGGTGGAGGCTTTATACTGAGTCCAATCACTGATCCCTCTAGTTCAGGGGTGTTCAATGTGGTGCCTTACACTGTGGTCATGGATGTGAGAGTTGCAGTCCCGCAAAATCTGCAGGGCTCCACATTGGCTAGCCGTAGTCTGCCCTGACTGGCAGTGGCTCTCCAGGGTTTCAGGTGGAATGTTCCACTTCCCAGGTCTACCTGGAGATGCTAGCTATTGAATCTTGAAGCTTCTGCGTGCACAGCAGATACTGCCACACTACCTTGAGACAAACTATCAATCCATCAAGCTCAGTATTATCTACACTGACTGGCAGCAGCTCTCCAGGGTTTAAGGCAAGGGAAACTCCCACCCTGACTAAGATTGAACCTGAGACTTTCTGCATGAAAGGCAGATTCTCTGCCTCAGGGTGACAGCCCTTCCCTCCACTGCAAATAAAGTAAATAAGAATTGCGTGCAAAACAGTTGTTTAATTAAGGGTGCCAGGAACTGTAGCTCTTTGCGGGTAAACTATGGTTCCCAAGATTCTCTGTAGGGAAGCATATGCTTCTGAATGCCAGTTACAGAAAACCAGAGGAGGGGAGAGGGCTTTTGTGCTGGTATCCTGCTTGTGAGTTTCCCACAGGTCTCTGGCCAGCTGCTGTGAGGACAGCGTGCTGAACTAAACATTGTCCTGATCCAGCAGGGGTGTCCTTATGTCCTTATGCTTTAAATGTGCTTTTAAATGTATGGTGAGGATGTGACCGGCATCTGGCCCAGCAGGCACATCTCTCCATTGGTGGTAACTCTTAAACCTGCCACTCAGAAGAGGAATGGGTTAAATACCACCCACCCCAGTTTTCTTTCCTTTTTAACCTAAAGTGGGTCTAATGAGCCAGTAATTTGATTTGGTCTATAACATGCTTTTAAAGCGAGGGGATAAATACAGCTGGCCTGCATAAAAGGTAGCTATTAAAGGCTATCCGGGATAGGGCATAATAACTTTAAATTAATAGCTCCCCCTCTTCTCTGTCAGATCCCGCACTTTGGCCTTACTTGGGATTTTGCCATATTTATTCTTTAAAGGGGCGGGCGGCGGGGGGGGGGGGGAGAAGCAAACTTTCAAACCATGCCTGCTGGTCTCTCGGGCAGCCATTTAACCTCCGTTTATGAAGAAATAAAGGGAAATTGATGCTGATTCCAGCCTGCTTCGGGGGATCATTGTGCGGTGTAAGAGCTATTCTGCCTGCAATTTACCGGTCGGCCTTGTCATCCCCATGACGGCTGCTTCTGATCAAGATAAAGCTTTATAGCCAGGGCATTTGCTGCTAACAGCAACCTAATGCTGCATTTTCATTTGGCTGCAATTAATGTTAATGCCTGCGACGAAAATTGTCATTAAAGACCATTTTAAAATCCATTCAATTTGCATAGGCGCAGCCCATTTGCTATCGGGTAAAATACTTGCTGTCGTTCATCACATCTTCCTTTTGCAGCCATTTCCTCCCCCTCCCTCCCACCCACTCCCTTTTTTAAATAGAAAAACCAACTTTATTAGCAGTTTGCTCTCCCCCACTTTAAAACGTGAGATCTGTAACATCACAGCTGACCCGGCACCATGCAAGGAATAATATTAATAATAATAATAATAAGTTTTTAATTACCTGTATTTGTAACCCGCCCATCTGGCATTTTACAAGGTATGCAGAATATAAGAGCCTGGCTGCTGGATCAGGCCAATGGCCCTTCAAGTCCAGTATCCAGTGGCCAACTAAGATCCCTCAGTGGGAAACCCATAATCAGGATCTGAGCCCGAGTACTCTCCCCTCCTGTAGCTGGTAAGAGATTTAACCTTGGACATTCTGCATGCAGAGCAGATGCTCATCCACTGAGTTATAGATGCTTCTGATAAACACAGGAAATCTGTCAGGCCATTGATCCATCTCCCTCTGTGTTGTCTGTACCAGGAGCAGGGAACCTTTAGCCATCCGGACCTTGCTGAACTACAACTGCCATCAGCCCCAAGAAGAATTACCAGACTATATCTCCACTGCATTTGCCATGAATTCATACCAATCTCTGTCAGCGGGGATGTCAGTGGAGTTCTGGAGTGCTGCGGCAGCCCTGTGGGGGCTCAACAGATCCCAACCTGGAGTTCCCCTGACCTCACCACTTCTGGCTCACCCTGCCCCATCCTGCTGAGTGCAGCCTTGCTGGTACTCGGAAGACACTACAGTGGTACCTCGGGTTACATATGCTTCAGGTTACAGACGCTTCAGGTTACAGACTCCGCTAACCCAGAAATATTACCTCAGGTTAATAACTTTGCTTCAGGATGAGAACAGAAATCGTGCTCCAGTGGCGCGGCGGCAGCAGGAGGCCCCATTAGCGAAAGTGGTGCTTCAGGTTAAGAACAGTTTCAGGTTAAGAACAGACCTCTAGAACAAATTAAGTTCTTAACCCGAGGTACCACTGTACTGGGTTCGCCCAATCCCCCAAGCCTCTATTATATGAGATTGGAGCATACAAAAAGAGAGAGGTAAATAACAGGGGGAATAAAATCAGTTTCTCCACCGCTACCCCTCTGTGGAATCCCTCAAGGAGGTGCCCCACTTTCTTCTGCTCACCGTGCTGGCCTCCCATATGTCATGTCCGCAGGTACTTTCGGAGGCGTCTTCTTGAAGCGCCTCTCATCATCCTCGCAGAGGCGGATGTCCTTTTGCTTGCGGTACAGGTTGCTCTCGTGTGCTGTGACAAAGCCGGCCTTGACGGCTCGGCTGTTGCAGGCCTTCTGGTCGCGGGGCCTCTCCTTCTCCGGAATGCTCTTGGGCTTCATAGAATTCCAGTGGCCAATGGCTATGGGTAGACAACAGTACAGTCGTACCATGGTTTTTGAACAGAATGCGTCCTGGAAGTCTGTTCAACTTCTGAAACGTTTGAAACCCAAGGCGCAGCTTCTGATTGGCTGCAGAAGCTGCTGGAGCATCCTGCAGCCAATCGGAACCCATGGAAGCCATGCCAGACGTTCAGCTTCCGAGGCAAAGTTTGTTTACTTCCGGGTTTGCGGTGTTCAAGTTCCAAGTTGTTCGTGAACTAAGCTGTTCGAAAACCAAGGTATGGCTGTATTTGTGTTATGCAGTGAAGAGTATTTGTGGAAGCTGTTCCTGTGCAGAGACTGGCCAGGCAGACAGGGTGGTGGTTGAGGTTAAAGCAGTTCACGAACTGTATAGCTTTCAGGTTGAGGACTGTGTGCTTGTATTTGTGTTTATATATTTTGGAATTTTTGAACACCCTACCTGTTGACATCAGGCAAGTGCCTTGAGTGAACTTTTTTCAGCATCTGCTAAAAACATTTTTTGTACGGGCAAACCAATACAGATATATAGAATGCTGACTTGTTTTAATCTGGTTTTTAGCGTTGTTGATTTTTTTAAATGTTTCAAATAGTTGTTTTTGATCATCTAAATTGATAATCTCATTGTTTTAATCTTTTGATAAACCACTTTGAAGTTTTCCATTTTGTTTTTACAATGAAGTGGTATATAAATTTTATGGTGTGTGTGTGTGTGTGTGTGTGTGTGTGTGTGTGTGTGTCTGAGAGAGAGAGAGAGAGAGAGAGAACTCCCAGCACATAGAAAGCTAGTTGTCAGCGAGAAGTCTAAGCTAGAGACAATCTTCCTGAGGCTCCCCCCCCAGGGGTGGACCTGGTTTCCCACTGTTGCACTATTAGTGTTGTGTGAGATATATATATGGGTGGGGGTGGGCAAGACAGAAATCATCCATGCAGTGTCTGTATACATAAATAGCATCCCTTCTACTTTAGCCCTAAGAATGGGGAATACCATGCACAGTGAATGGCCTCTCAAAACTAGGGTCTTTTACATGGGTGTTTGCTGCAGTATACCATTGATGCAATAGTAACATACCCATGCTGGATTCATACTGGACTGTCTGCACATCATTTCACATCATTAGTTGTACTACACCACTTCCACAACATTACCACATTACTACCTATGCCCCCTGCCCACTGCCTAAACATTTATGGTACAAAAAGTTACAGGATTTCAGCAGAAAGTTACGGGACATACACTGACAGGGAATGAAGCAGTGCATCCTCCCTAGAACTTTAGTAAAGCTAAGGTAAAGGGACCCCTGACCATTTGGTCCAGTTGTGGACGACTCTGGGGTTGCGGCACTCATCTTGCTTTACTGGCCAAGGGAGCCGGTGTACAGCTTCCAGGTCATGTGGCCAGCAAGACTAAGCTGCTTCTGGTGAACCAGAGCAGCACACAGAAACGCCGTTTACCTTACCGCCGGAGCGATACCTATTTATCTACTTGCACTCTGACGTGCTTTTGAACTGGTAGGTTGGCAGGAGCAGGGACCAAGCAATGGGAGCTCACCCCGTCGCGGGGATTTGAACTGCCGACCTTCTGATCGGCAAGTCCTAGGCTCTGTCGTTTAACCCAGAGCACCACCTGCATCCCAGAACTTCAGTAGAGCACTGAAAATGGGATGGTATAGCACCTCCCTGTCCCCAGACACCACTCTGAGTTCAATATCATCCACGAATGCACAATTTTTAAATGATGTTTTGGGGGCCCAGGATAATGCCACATGAAAAGAGAAATTCAGGAAATCACAAAAATGCAAAAGACAGCACACTTTCTTCCTCTGAAAAGTGTGGAAAGGTGAAAATGTATCAGCGGAAATTAACAGGAAAATGCATCCTTATGGCCCTACCTTCGGCAACGCCTCCGTCCAGCCCATGCAAATATAACCCATAGCTGAAAGCATAGCCGGGGAGAGTGTAGCAACTTCTGCGGGGTTTCCCAAGCTCTGGCTGCAAAGAGAAGTAAAAACAGTCATCTTAAATATTCTACCAGCTAAATAACTTATTTGCAGTCATGAAACCCTCATTTTCTGTGAGCAGAATAAATCACACAAAGTAAATTCACATGTAGAAATGCCTGATTAGTGCCAAGGCTCTGCTTCAGCATAGGAAACTGCTTTATATTGAGTCATACCATTGGTCTGTCTAGTTCAGTATTGTCTAGATTGACTGGCGGTGGCTCTCAAGGATTGCAGGCAATACCTATCTTTCTCAGCTTTTCTTGGAGATGCTGCTGGAGATTGAAGAAGCGACCTTCTGCATGTTGGTCAGATGCTTAACTGCTGAACTATGGCCCCTTTCCAAATAGGAACAGAGGAAGCTGGCTTACACTGAGACCAACTTGCCCAACCCCGCTCCAGGACAGATCAATCTAGATAAGTTTGGCAAAGTCCAATCTGTGATTTTGGTAGTTGCCATTCTTTAGGATTATCAATAAAGTATTTTATAAAAGTATGCCATATTTCATTTGTAGCATTCAATGCACTTAATCTCTTTTTTAATTCCTCTGATACAGAATAGACCATACAGTCTGTTTCCAATGAGAGATACACAGATTTTCCCATTCTTTCCAATTCTGTGCCACTATTAGGCGTGCCACTGCTAAAAGGAAAGTGATTAGTTCATTATAACAAAGGTCAGATTGCCCTTGTTTGAAAATAGTTAACAATTCCAGATTTGGAGTACATTCCACATGTTGACCCGTAATATACCTCATTTATGTAAACACCCTCTGACAGAGGGGCTTTATATGTTCAACACACCCATCACATGTGAAATGTTGTACCTATACTATTGCAGCCTCTCCAGTACAATGGTGGGATAGTTTTATTAATATAACTACACTATGTAATGGTGTCAAATGCCATCAGTGTAGTAATTTAAATGTATTTTCTCATATCCAGGTTGATACTGATTTTAGTGGGTTTTTAGCCCACATTTTATTCCAATCCACCTCTGCAATCTCTATCCCTGACTGGCAATGAATCTCTAAGACTTTAGACAGGTCTCCCAGCCCTGCTTGGAGATACCTTTAGGGACTCAACCTGGGACTTGGGACCTTCTGCATGTAAAGCAGGTGCTCTGCCACTGAGCTACAACCCATCCCAGCATCTGTTTTCAAATATTATTTCATGGGATGAAGAAAGTGTATATAGAATTTTTTCTCTCTCGCCCTCTCATTAATACTAGACCTCAGTTGACATCTGAATAAAGCTGAATGTTGGAAATTCAGGACAGACAAAAGGAAGGACTTTTTCACACAGCACAAGACTTAAATATGGAATTTGCTCCTGCAATAGGCAGTGATGTCTGCCAACTTGAATGACTTTAAAAGAGTTGGCCACTATGATGGACTAGATGGGCCATTGGCATGATCTAGCAGAGCTGGAAAATATTTTGATTTTTTTTACAGAGGCAGAAAAAAAATCTCCAAGGGTTTTTTTGGTTGGTTTGGTTTGGTCACCATTAGAAGCAACAATTTCACAACAGCTCTGTCTTTCTTTTTTGCACTCTCTCCCTCTCCATCAACCTAGCATTGTCCTGAGAGATTTGTGTGCATGGGTTCATATGTATGGGAAATGGTGGTGTCCACACAGAAAAATATGGCAGAGAATATTTAGATGAAAATCTGTATTGTGGCTGCATTTCCCCCTAGGACAAAAGAGAAAAACCTTAAAAGAAATATTCCCAGAGAAACTGTCTAACCCACACAAGATCTGCAAAATTTGTTTATTGCATTTATATCCCACCCTTTTTTCTCCAAGGAACTCAAGGTGGTATATGTGGTTCTCCCTCTGCCCCCCACGATCTGGGCAGCAGTTGGCCCAAAGTCACCCAAGTGAGCTTCACAGCCGAGTGCAGGACCTCTTCTACGTCTTAGTCAGACACTCTAGCCACTTCATTACACAACCTCTCCTCACAAAATCCGTGCTGCTCTTGATCCAAAGCAGCTAGACCCCGACTCAAAGATTCCCCTTGTAGCTACAACCCTACAAAGAAGACCTCCAAATTGCGCTAGAACCATGAAAACATTTGTGTGAGCAGTGGCGTAGCGTGGGGGGCGCAGGGGTGGCCGGCCGCACCGGGCGCAACATCGGGGGGGGGGGGGCGCTCGCACTCGCAGCTCTCTGACTCACTCACTCTCCACGGGTTAGGGGGCGCAAATTACTTGCCTTGCCCCGGGTGCTGACAACCCACGCTATGCCACTGTGTGTGAGTCCCTACAAAGGGCCCACCCTTCGCAGGCAGAAAAAGTCACTAAAACACCAACTGATGGACAAGTTGAAGCGGGGGAAGAAGGACAATATGGGGGTGGCCAGAGGAAGGCTCAAAAGAGGGCATGAGGGGGGAGAGTGGGCACACAATAGCTGGCCTCTTTTTATTTAGTTTTAAAATTAACTCCTTTTATTCCCTTCTGTGTACCCTGGCTTTGTGGTGTCTGTGGGATTAAGTGACCTCTGATCACTTCTTTGTGCCTTGACCAGGATCTCCATGGTGAAGCCAGCCAGAGATTAGCCCTCATAATGACATCATATTGTCTTAAAGGGGAGGGCAGGGCTGGGGAGAGCCAGACCAGACCAGAGGCTTTTGGCGGAGTGGTTTGACAGGAGGCCTGGAAGGTAAATGCCTTCAGGATGGCCCTTGTTCGTGAATAGGGATGGAAGGATCTGTCAGTTTTGGTGTCTCATTTTTCCAATCTTAAATTCAGTCCTCCGCCTTTCTGCAGCAATTTGCTTTTTTTAAAAAAAAAGTACTTATGAAAATTTGGCAGCATTTATTCAAATCAACAGAACTTTGCCATTTTGACAAATATATATATTTTTTGCAAGCAATTTCTTTTAATATGCATTTTTGTATCTTGTTGTTATTATTCCACATTTTGTTAAGTTATTGCATTTATATCATACCTTTCCTCCGAGGAGCTCAAGGTAGTATGTGTGGTTCTCCCACTCCCCTTTTAACCCCCTGTGAGGTAAATTAGCCTGAGAGGCAGTGACTGGCTCAAGATCACACCCAGTGAGCATGATGTGCCTGTACATTTCATCCACTTTGGCCAAAAGCAGAAGAAAATTACAGCTGCATTTAGATTCCCTGTTATTGTTAATGGGAAAACTTGGAACTTTGTTTTATACAGGGCAGTTCAAGAGCCAAATTGCAGATCAATTATGAGAGCATCCACAGTGACCCAGGAACACTGCAGAATTTTAAGAGACACACAATGTAGTGATATTTCAGTTTCTGGTTAACAAAAAAGCTGGTGGGTTAATCTTTAGCATCAGTGAGATGTGCAGAATGGCAGAGGGAAGTACTGCAATGTGACACAAGGTGGCAGCCTTCTTTCCAGCCACATCCACCACCTCATCCCCTATAGCAGCCTGGCCTCATCTTCATCTTTTCACCAGCTTTGGCTAGAATGCAGATTCCCCCGCTTTCTTCTCCTGACAGCTGTCCCCACCAACAGACAACTTCATTAAACCTAATTAAGATGTAATTTCGCTGCCTTATTTCCACTCTCTCCGCTGTAATTAAAACCCATTTCTTGCTATCTTCCAGGCGGGCCTAATAATTTTCTCTGGGCACCTTCTGAAAGCTTTGCTCCCTTTATGGCTTCGATGATGGCAATCGAGCCTCCTAAACACTATTTATATGGCCACATTTGGAGACATCCTGCCTCAAATGTAGAAGGGGACAGAACCTTTAGGGAACCTAAAATTTAATGCCAGATTTCCACTGTTTATTATAGGAACACAGGGTGCTGCTTTAGATTGTTTTGCTCAGACCAGGGGTTATTCTCGCTACCTGGAGATGCCAGGAATTGAACATGGAACCTCCTGTGCTCTTAGCTACAGACCTTCCAGTAAGAGACAGGAGCACAGGAAACTGCCTTATACCAACTCAGACTAATGGCCCAAGTGGCTCAGCATTGTCTAGCAGCAGCTATTCGGGGTTTGGGGCTGAGAGGCTTTCCAAGCCCAACCTGGAGATACAGATGACTGAACCCAGGACCTCTCTTGCTCTCGGACCTGCAAAACTCCACGGGTCAGCTACCTATCCTAATGCATGCATATACAATTCTTTGCAGTGGCCCGTTTACATCTACAAGTGCAATACAATGTTGGGGTATGGGGTATGCCAGCCAGTCTATTCCATTCCATTCCCTCTCCTTGATTGTTTGATGCAGGTCTCCAGCCTAGTAATGGGTACAAAAGTTCATATACTGAGGTGTGCCTTAAAAATGCACATATTCTTGAAAGGAACATACCAAAAGAAAACAGAACAAGAGAAAATGACTTCGCAAAAGATTTGCGTTGTAGGCAAAATGTGTGCATGTGATGAAATCCTCAAAAAGGCTGTTTCTAGATTTGCAGTGAGTGCCCCCAGACTAACAGCTCTCTTCAGCAGTATTTTGTAGCTGCTACAAAATTAGAGGTTAATATTTGGAGGGAAATAAAAAACATGAACAAACGAATGAAAGAAAAGCAAATGAAATCAAGTGGGTCCAGGATTTCAAATTTATTTATTATATTTATATATTTATTTATTATTTGTAAAAACCACCCTTCATCTGAAGATCTGAGGGCAGTTCATAGCATAAAAGCACAAAATAAAAACATAAAATACATAATGAAACAAGAGGAAAAACAAAACAAACCCATAACCCATCCAAATGTGTCCTGTAGGCTGCTGCAACCACTACTGCTTCCTTGAAAAGCGACCTCGTGTACTTGTGGGGTTGGATGTTCAGAAAACGGGTGGGGCGACCCTTCTATGATGAAAGATGAAAGGTTGCAGTGTGTGGGACTTTTAGGAAAGGTGAGTGAGAGGTTAGAAGTTGGTAAAATTGTCCATGGTATGGAAAAAGTGGATAGAGAAAAGTTTATCGTCCTCTCTCATAAAACAGTGGTACCTCCAGTTACAAACTTAATTTATTCTGGAGGTCTGTTCTTAAC